TAGCTTTGAAGAAAAACATGAGTGCCAATCCCTGAGTATCCATATCATTTTACTTACTTCCTCAAATTCATGTGCAGTAGCTATGTTTTGCACCAAAAAAAGAGAGTCGTGTTGCATCTTAAAGAAAAGTAGGTTTGTTGAAGCATAAAGCTTTGTGGCTTCCCGTGAAGCTTTTTGCTTCAGCAAATCTGTTAGTCATTGAAGATGATGCAAGTCTTACACACATGCATGCATGCGCGCATGCGCACACATACACACACACAGCCCCTTTTCAGAAATCTTGACAGGTCTGTTAAGAGAGGTCTGAAGTATTATCCAGCTATTACAGACGGGGAAAAGAGGCCTGCCATAGGCAATCTAGTGAATTGAACTGGCTGAGCCGAGGTTTGATCTAAGAACTTTCCGGTCCAGAGCTCATGTTCTTAATAACCACTAGCAGTGTCCAGACTAGTGCTCCCTCTAAGGTGTGGAGTTTTGTGAGCAATAATTCTACTCTGTGAGCTACTGGCATTAAAGTTGTGAGCAAGCAATTTGGCTACTGCATGAATTAGCTTGTTCTGGGGCCATCCTTCCTGGGCGAAGACAAAAATGTGTGAGCTGGAGGCTAAAAAATGTCAGCTAGCTCACGCTAACTCAGCTTAGAGGGAGTACTGGTCCAGATAGGGCTGCGGTATACATGCAGAGCTTAGGGTGCGAACAGAATCAAACTGTCGCTGCAAACCTTCTGCGTGTGCTCTTGGAAACGGATTTCATTGAAACCAGTGGCATCTAGGGTTCCAAATAAGCGTGTTCAGGACGGAGTTCTGAATCGTCTGGCTTCAATTACTATGGCCTCCTCAGGCCTAGCGGGTAATTTGGAACCCTTGTGGTTGGCAGGACCGTGCAGTGTAGTAAAGTTTTAAATCCATTCTCGTCTGCTCTGATTCCTTCAAAAAAATCAATATTTGCTTCTTTTTTCTCATTTGTTGTTCCGTTCGGGAGAAGCCACGCCCCCCCATCCAATTCCCTTCCCCATTTTGTGAAATGTCAGCTGTCATTAGTGCTGCGCGTGTGACTGGGGGAGGGGTGGTGGTATTGCCTTTTGACTGAAGGCCCTTTTTATCGAGCCTGTTTGTGTAGCGAGATGGCCCCCCAGGTCCCTTTTCACCAACTTCCTCCCATCAGCGTCTCCGGTTAAAAAGCTAAAACAGCAAAACTCCACACCGAGTGGGATGTTTCTGAAAGCAGAATATATTTTGTTGTTATGGAATTAAGGTATAAAACAGAAAGTGTATAAAACAGAAACAGACAGTTTGGTGCAGTGGTTAGGAGCGCGGACTCTAATCCGGGAGAGCCGGGTTTCATTCCTCACACCTTCATATGGAGCTGCTGGTGTGACCTTGGGTCAGTCACAAGTTCTCTCGGAGCTGTTCTCTCAAGAGCAGTCCTCGAAAGAGCTCTCTCAGCCCCACCTACCTCACAGGGTGTCTGTTGTGTGGAGGGGAAGGGAAAGGAGACTGTAAGCCGCTCTGAGACTTCGAGGGTAGTGAAGGGTGGGGTATAGATCCAATCTCTTCTTCTCCTCTTCTACAGTCCAGCGTGCTGTAGCAGCTAGAGTGTTGGAGTAGGATTTCAAAGACCTGGGTTTGAATCCTCACTCTGCCATGGAAGCTCACTGGGTGGCCTTAGGACAGTCACCCTCTCTCTACCTAACCTCCCTCATGGTGTGCTTGTTATGAGATTGAAATGGAGGCGGGCGAATTATGTTGTGAACTGCCTTTGGTTCCCGTTGGGGAGCGAAGCGTAGTTATAAATATCTAAATAAAAATATTGGCATTTGGGGCGGCAGTAAGATATTGTTCCATCCTTTTTTGTCCTTAAGAGTTTTGCGATAATGGGATATTGGACCTTGCAAAATGAGGTCAGTCAGTAAGGACAATGGGAAGGAATGTCTAGAAGACCATTTAAGATATAACTTTCTCTTGGTTGAAAAACGTAAATGAGACTTGAAAAAAGCGAGCTGCAGACTGGAAGGTCGGTAGTTTGGCAGTTCAAGACCCGAGTGACGCATGACGGAGTGAGCTCCCGTCTCTGGCCTCAGCTCCTGCCAACCTAGCAGTTCGAAAGCAAGAAATTGCAAGTAGATAAATAGGTACCATAGGTACCGCTTCGGTGGGAAGGTAACAGCGTTCTGCGCACCTCGGCGTTTAGTCATGCTGGCCACATGACCACGGAAACGTCTTTGGGCAATGCTGGCTCTTTGGCTTGGAAACAGAGATGAGTTCTGCATTCCTGGAGTCGGATTTGACAAGCTATCAAGCAATGGAAACTTTACCTTTACCTTTCACTAGCACTTGAGGGACCAGCAATATTTTCAGGGGATTAAGATTCCGAGAGTCAAAACCTCCCTTCCCTCCCATTTTTAAGAGCTTCGACTCTCAAAATCTTATACCCGAAAAGTTTTCAGGTGGGTAGCCATGTTGGTCCGAAGCGGCACCTTTAAGACCACCGACAGAGTTTTGGTCAAGGTATAAGTTTTCGTGTGCAAGCCCACTTCTTCAAAGGGATCTTGTTGGTCTCTGCTACTGGACTCGGGTCTTGTTTTTCTACTGCAGACCAGCCCAACTACCCTCTGAAACCACAGTTATGAGAGAAATTCAGATAAGGTGACTAATTAAAGACAACTAATACTTTTCCAGGCGGTGATGAATGACAGGGAGTGGGTTTTTAAATTTCTTCCTGGTGAAGCCCCATCCCCCCCCCTCTCGATTTTCAATTTATGGTTTGGGTAGAAATCATGTTGGCACCTTACCCAGGGATGCCAAGGAAATGTGGTACTGTGACAGTGCGGCATTCCAGTCCTTATTTTGGTGACTACAGTAATGTCTGCTCCCATAAACATTTGGCTCATGCATCTTTCAACTCAGGGGCACCTGCCTCACTTGGAACATCTGCTTTGTAATCTTTGAAACAATTCAAGGGCACACCGTAGACGAGACTTGCTAAGTAGCCATTCCTTTGTGGTGAGTAGGAGTTGCCTCCCAGTGCCTAAGTGGAAACACTTTACAGAAGTTGGTTCTTGTCCACCTTACAAAAGCTGACTGCAGACTTATCAACACAGAGGCATATCTGGGGGGGGAGGGGAGGTGCTAACTTACAAATGAAAGTAGGGTAGTGAATGCCGTGGCCTCAATTGCAGGAGTGCCGTTAATAGGAGAAACATGTTGCATCTGTTTGGCTTCCACCTCGTCCATACCCTTGGAAGAAGTTTGCTGCTACTCCAGATCTGAGTGACAATAAAGTTGTCAGTGGCCAGTCTCTGGTATATGTTGTCCTCTCCTGTCTGGTTAATGGGAGCCAGTTTGGTGTAGTAGTTAGGAAACCACTACACCAAACTGGTGTCTAGTGTCTGAGGCTGGTCTCTCGCTGGGCTTCTGGAATGAAAAGGGAAATGCGAAGCGCGACATTCCCTTTCAGTGCAGAGTTGCCGCTTTAGTTGAATGATACGCTACTTTACAGTCAGTGTTTCCTCTAAGCTTAGTGTGAGGTAGCTCACAGTTTTTCAGCTTCCGGCTCACACATTTTTGGAAGCCTGGTTCCAAAGCAAACTGATTTTTTTGCCGTAGCCGAATCACTCACTCACAAATTTATTGCCAGTAGTTCACAAAGAGGCATGTTTGCTCACAAGACTCCACAGCTTAGAGGGAGCGTTGCTTATGGCGCCTTCAGTATCGCAGTTCAGTATTGCAGCAAGACACCTGCGAGAAATAACGCCGTGCTCTCTACGTGGAATCAAGAACTGGTTAGCGATTGACAGTTTTCAGTTGGCTGACAGACCTGGGGCACCACCTGTGACAACCCAGGCTTGGATCTTACAGCCGTGTTCTGCACGCGCATCGCTCTTGCCGCAGCGCAGCATGTTTTCCTCTGTCGCCGTGAGTTCCACTTGCACACGAGCACTGCCTTTCAGCGGGCCCTTGCGCAAACATGGGGGAAGTGAGCGGAGCTGCGGTCAGAACTAGAGATGTAAAATTTCCAGAAATTTTGACGCTCGGGGGGAAATGGAAATTTTCGGAAAAATTGGAGAAAAAAATGCCACATTAGCATTTCTTTTGTCTTTTCCAGATTGAAAGTCATTCTGTTACTTTAGGAAAATAAGATATGACTATGGACATTTTTACTTGGCATGAAATGATCGCAACTAGCCTATTAAAAATAGTGTGTCCAAACAGTTATTACAAACAGAATACCCAGCCACATGCAAAAACAAAACTGAAACCTTTTTCTTTTCTTCTGACAATAGCACCTCCTAAAGGAAGAAATGCATCTTGTTCTTGCATTGGAGAGTTCAGTTTGTAACCTAGGACTTGCTTGTCCTCAGTGCACGGAAATTAGAACAATCTGATACCATACGTATATATATTAGAAATGATTTGGAAAATATTTGAACACCTTGTCTTAAAATATTTTATTCATCATGTTAAAATAAAACGTTCCATAATCATTTTTTTTTCTTTTGTTTTTTCAATTTTTCCAATTTTTCAGAAAAAAACCAAAAAAGGCTTCAGGAAAAAAACGGGGGGGAAACGGTTTTTTTCTGAATCTTTCTGTTTTTTTTCCGGGCCTTCACATCTCTAGTCAGAACACAGCATGTGTGGAACCCAGTTACAGTGTTTTAAGAAGGCCCAGGTCTACCTCTGGTTTTGAACAGTTGCTGCGCTGTAGGTTGGCTTTCCCCTCTCTTATGCAGGGCTGTGACCAACCCGAGACCAAGGAAAGTTCAGCGTCCCACATGTCAGGTCTCCCAGTTAAGACACTCTCCACAACACACTTTAGCAGGTGTAGTCTATTAGAGATATGCTTATTCCAGGAAAGACATTCCGTGTCAGAACTGGAAAAAGGTGCGCCAAAGCCTCTATTATAGCTAATACACAATACACCCCACACCTCTCGTGCACGTCACCAGTCAGCCCCTACAGTAACTATGGCAACCCGGTCGCCAGTCAGCCCCTACTGTAACTATGGCAACCCGGTCGCTAGTCAGCCCCTACGGTAACTATGGCAACCCGGTCGCCAGTCAGCCCCTACGGTAACTCTGGCAACCCTGTCGCCAGTCAGCCCCTACGGTAACTATGGCAACCCTGTCGCCAGTCAGCCCCTACGGTAACTATGGCAACCCTGACAGATATACGGTGCCTTAGCTACATCCTAGCCTGGTAAAGAAGACTGCCAAGGCCGGTTCTCATGAGAACTCGCTGTGGGGCGCAGGTTGAGGAAAGTTATGGCTTCTAAAAGCATTCACTCAAAACACCCATGCGCTCTCCTCAGGAATTCTCTTTCCCCCCCATATCTGTGGCCAGCAGTGAAGTGGAACGATGTGAAACGAAACTGATGCTTGACACCACATGATGCTGTTTTGACCAATAGGAGGAGTTGGCCGCTTCCTTCACCTCCAAGGGTGGATGAGTAGAAATAACAGCCGGCGGGGTGGGGGTGGGGGACACACACGTGAAAGAGGTTTATAAAATTATGCATGCAGAGACTTGACAAAGAGAACTTTTTCTCCCTCTCCCAAAATACTGGAACTCCAGGGCATCCAGTGAAGCCGATGGGCAGTGGGTTCCGGTCGGGCAAAAGGAAATGCCACTTTACACAGAGAGGGATTGAAATGTGGAACTTGTTGCCAGAAGATGTAGTGATGGCCATAGAAACAAACGGCTTTAAAAGGGGATTAGGTAGATTCCTGGTGGATAAGTCTATCAGTAGTTACTAGCCAAGGTGACTGAGCGGGAACTCCATGTTCAGAGACAGTAATCCTCTGAATCCCAGAGCTAGGAGGCAACTTCACGGGAAGGCCTCGGTCTCTATGCCCTGTTGTTGGCCCTCCAGAGGAACTAGTTGGCCCCTGTGTGAGACAGGAGGCTGGACTAGATGGACCCTCACTGGTCTGATCCAGCAGGGCTCTTCTGAGGTTCTTATCAAGGGAAGGTCTCAGCCTCTCTGCCCTGTTGTTGGCCCTCCAGAGGACCTGGTTGGCCCCTGTGTGAGACAGGAGGCTGGACTAGAGGGACCCTCACTGGTCTGATCCAGCAGGGCTCTTCTTATGTTCTGATCAGGGGAAGGCCTCGGCCTCTCTGCCCTATGGTTGGCCCTCCAGAGGAATTGGTTGGCTACTGTGTTTGACAGGAGGCTGGACTAGATGGACCCTCACTGGTCTGATCCAGCAGGGCTCTTCTGAGGTTCTTATCAGGGGAAGGCCTCGGCCTCTATGTCCTCTTGTTGGCCCTCCAGAGGAACTAGTTGGCCCCTGTGTGAGACAGAAGGCTGGACTAGATGGACCCTCACTGGTCTGATCCAGCAGGCCTCTTCTGAGGTTCTTAACATACCACCTCTCAAGAGTTTGCTGTTGGAAAAAGGGAAGAGGTTATATATGCTCGCTATGCTTGTTGTATTATATCTGTTATATTAAAATATTAGACATTAGAAGAAAGCTGTGATAGAATAAAGATACTTAAATAGAGGTGAAAAATCAAGAGTAAATATAAACTCTAATAAGTATATATATTCTATGATATATATTCTAGTTTCTGTTTAGGGGCCGTGGTGGCTCAGAGGTTAAGACACTTAACTGCAGACCGGAAGGTCAGTAGTTCGGCAGTTCAAGACCCGAGTGCCGCATGACGGAGTGAGCTCCCGTCTCTGGCCCCAGCTCCTGCCAACCTAGCCGTTCGAAAGCAAGAAAGTGCAGGTAGATAAATAGGTACCACTTCGGTGGGAAGGTAGCAGCGTTCCGTGCGCCTCAGCCTTTAGTCATGCCGGCCACATGACCACGGAGAAGTCTTCGGAGAGTGCTGGCTCTTCGGCTTGGAAGCGGGGATGAGCACCGCCCCCTAGAGTCAGATTTGACTGGCTTTCGAGCAAGGGGAACCTTTTTTCTTTTACTTACCTTTAGTTTATGTTTATTACTGTAGTTTGTTTAAGCTATGATTTGTATATAGTAGATGGTGGTAGTTGGTCATTGTAGAAGGCTATATGTATCTATTTACCTAGCCGTGTTCTATGTATTATTTGGACGATTGTCGTTTCTAGTCTGCATTTTGTTTTTGTTTTGTAAATTGAGGTAATAAAAAAACTAAAGAATCTACTGTCGGATAACTTTTTCGACCTCTGTTGATTCTCCCGGCAGCATTTCAACGGAAAGGCATCGAGCCGAAGTCCGGAGGGCGGTAAACGATGAGCGATTGACAACCATTGCGCATAAGTAAGAAGGGGGTCCCCGTTAAAAAAATCTTTCAGTCTGGACTTCCTGCTCATGTTGCAACGTGTATTTGTTTTCTTGTCTGATGTCTTATGCTTCAGAGTGTGGCCAACTCAGCAGCTCTTAAAAACAGCCAGGTTTGGCGACAGATCTTTAACACAGGGGCACAAACAGATGTCCAAGCGCTTTCTAGCAGAGTGGCATCATTGCCCCAAGATGAGAACTGTAAAAGGCATACTCACCCCCACCAGTGGTGAAAGATCAAAAAGTGTTCACCGTGTTGCAAAGATCCATGATTCTTTGGAAGTAATACTTCCCATGGTATCTGGAGCAAGGAAGGTGTACTTAGCCAAGATTACTGGCAATTGTCCCAAATGTTTGGGAGGAGCCATGGCTCCGTGGTTAGAGCTTCCGCAGGGCATGCAGAAGGTCCCAGGTTCAGTCCCTGCGATCTCCAGTTAAAAGCTCCCAAGTGGTAGGTGATGTGAAAGACCTCTGCCTGAGACCCTGGAGAGCCTGAGCTATTGAATGTTTAGTCTACCTAAGCTGGTTCAGAGGTAGAACTTCCACGTGGCACTCAGAAGGTCCCAGGTTCAATCCCCAGAATCTCCAGTTAGAAGGACCAGGCAGGAGGTGATGGGAAAGATCTCTGCCTGAGACCCTGGAGAGCCATAGACAGGAACTGTGACTCGGTGGCCTCTGCTTGGCATTTATTTTATTAATTATTTATTCCTTTAATTTATACCCCGCCCTCTCCACCAAGGCAGGCTCAGGGCAGAAAGTCCCAGGTTCAGTCCCCGACATCTCCATTTAAAAGGACCAGGCAGTAGGGGATGTGAAAGACCTCTGCCTGAGACCCTGGAGAGCCATAACCAGGAACTGTGACTCGGTGGCCTCTGCTTGGCATTTATTTTATTAATTATTTATTCCTTTAATTTATACCCCGCCCTCTCCACCAAGGCAGGCTCAGGGCAGAAAGTCCCAGGTTCAGTCCCCGACATCTCCATTTAAAAGGACCAGGCAGTAGGGGATGTGAAAGACCTCTGCCTGAGACCCTGGAGAGCCATAACCAGGAACTGTGACTCGGTGGCCTCTGCTTGGCATTTATTTTATTAATTATTTATTCCTTTAATTTATACCCCGCCCTCTCCACCAAGGCAGGCTCAGGGCAGAAAGTCCCAGGTTCAGTCCCCGACATCTCCATTTAAAAGGACCAGGCAGTAGGGGATGTGAAAGACCTCTGCCTGAGACCCTGGAGAGCCATAACCAGGAACTGTGACTCGGTGGCCTCTGCTTGGCATTTATTTTATTAATTATTTATTCCTTTAATTTATACCCCGCCCTCTCCACCAAGGCAGGCTCAGGGCAGAAAGTCCCAGGTTCAGTCCCCGACATCTCCATTTAAAAGGACCAGGCAGTAGGGGATGTGAAAGACCTCTGCCTGAGACCCTGGAGAGCCATAACCAGGAACTGTGACTCGGTGGCCTCTGCTTGGCATTTATTTTATTAATTATTTATTCCTTTAATTTATACCCCGCCCTCTCCACCAAGGCAGGCTCAGGGCAGAAAGTCCCAGGTTCAGTCCCCGGCATCTCCAGTTAGAAGGACCAGGCAGTGGATGATGTCAAAGACCTCTGCCTGAGATCCTGGAGAGCCACAGCTAGTTGAATGTTTAGGCCGACTAAGCTGACTCAATGGTAGAACTTACACTTGGCATGCAGAAGGTCCCCGGTTCAATTCCTGGCATCTCCAGTTAAAAGCACCAGGTGGTAAGTGATGTGAAAGACCTCTGCCTGAGACCCTGGAGAGTCTTAGCTATTTGAATTGTTTAGCCTGCTTCAGCTGGTGCCTGCAGCAGGTAGGAGGAATTGAACAGCGGTGCCTCCAAGCTGTGACCCAATGGAATCCAGACCTTTGTGTTTCCTTCATAGTATGTCCGGGCCAAACAGCTCTTCGGAGTGGTCCATCGAAGGGAGGCGGCTGGTCCCTCTGATGCCCCGGCTGGTTCCCCAAACGGCTTTTACCGTCACGGCGAATGCTGTCGCCAACGCCGCTCTCCAGCACAACGCGTCTCTTCCGTCTCCCGCAGAGACAGGGAGCAAAGAAAGCGAGGGTAAGGTGGCCGTTGGGGGATCGGGAGCGGGGAGAGAAAAGGGCTCTCGATTACCTTGTGGCTAATTGCCACGGATGGACCTCTGCTCCATATGCTTATCTAATTCCCTCTTGAAGCCGTCCATGCTTGTTTCCTGGTGGAGCTGCCGTTATTTTTATGTCAGCTCCAGTCCGCCCCCAAGCCTGCAGCCACCCCTCTCCCTCCCCTCCTGCAAGATCTTAAAAGGCCCTTCAGCTGATCGGCAGGGAGCACGTGGCCTGCCAATCAGCTGGATGTCCCTTTAAATCTTGCAGGAGGTGAAGGAGAGAGGGGCTCATGCCATCCCCCGCGTCTTCCCGTTAAATGCTTTTGAGAAGGGGGGGGGGACTGTGTGTGCACGGCCCCCTGATTCTTCATTAAAAACCTTCTCACAATCTTGTGGGGCTGGCCCTTTAAGGAAGGGGATGGAGCCCCCCAATAGCCCCACTGTACCTACGGGCCAGTCTCGAGCGCACGCACGCACAGTGAAACTTAGCCAGACCTATAGATGAGACGCATAGCTAGAACGAAGCACCTTATACCCTCATTGCTGGCTACCAGTGTTCCCTCTAAGCTGTGGAGTCTTGTGAGCAAAAAATTCTATTTTGTGAGCTACTGGCATTAAAGTTGTGAGCGAGCGATTTGGCTACTGCATCAATTAGTTTGCTCTGGGGCCATCCCTTCCTGAGCTGAGACATAAATGTGTGAGCCGGAGGCTAAAAAACTGCGAGCTGGCTCACACTTACTCAGCCTAGAGGGAACACTGCTGGCTACGAGTCAGAAAGTCATTGGTCAAGCAATCCCAAACATAGGAAGAGCCAAGCCATCTCACACCTCGTGTCTAGTGGCGAGAGAAAACGAATCAGGCTTCCTAGATGAGAGCTGTTAACAAGCAGGGGTCATTTCGTAGAAAAAGAAGGGCAGGAGCTCATTAGCATAACTCATTAGCATAACTTATTTGCATATGCTACACCCCCTGACATCACCGGAAGTGTGTCAGAAGGCAACACCCACCGCTCACCCACTGGACTGTTTTGGATTGCTAGCTATTGGGGGGGGGGACATGGAGATCTGCCCTCACAGAGGAGGGAGAGCTTGTTCCTGAATAAAACTTGGTCTTAAAGGAGCCACTGGACTGTCTTGGATTGCTAGCTCACAGAGGAGGGAGAGCTTGTACCTGAAGGTGGGCCGGGGTGGGGTGGGGGTCGCTCTGCAACTTACCTGGCTGCTTCTTGTTCTGACTGAGGGCTGCTGGGAGCAGGGGGTGGGGCTTGTTGCATCTGCCCGTTCCCTGGGCTCCTTACTGCCGGAGCTCCGCTCCTGTGCGCTCCCACAGGAAATGACCCCTGCTAACAAGCATGAGAGCAGAAGGATATTCTCTTGTGAGCGACCCGATGGCCTTCCCCTCACTTGAGGCCGAGCACCACCTGGTACCAAAGAGTTACAAAGGCCGTGCGCCTTTTGTGCCCCTGACAATTCTGTGGCACTCTGATTTCGACAAGTGGGAAGACTCGTTCATTTCAGCGGGGTGTAACAGGTTTTAAGCATTAGGATCTCGGAGCGTCAACCTGTGACTTTGAACCTGTCAAATGTAGGGAGGGGACAGATGCAGGGTTCCGCCCCCCCTGTTGGTGCAGCAGGCGTTTTCTCTCCCTCCCCAGTGGTGGTGTGCTACTCCTACACGAGTACGACGTCCACCCCGACATCCACCCCGGTGCCGAGCGGCAGCATCGCCACGGTCAAGTCCCCCAGGCCCGCCAGCCCGGCTTCCAACGTCGTCGTCTTGCCGAGCGGAAGTGCCGTTTACGTCAAAAGTAAGTGAAAAGAGCGTAAGGAGAGCATCGAGCTAGAGTCCAGAGAGCTACTTTCTATGAGCTCTTGCTTTTATTTTAGGTATTAAGGGCGTCTGAGGAGGGCAGCCGTGTGTGTCTGCGGTAGAAGAGCAAGGGGTCCGAGTCCAGTATTGCCTTAGGATTTCCAGGGTTTGAGCTTTCGCGAGTTGCAGCTCCCTTCGTCAGATAGGGATCTCCATTCCCGCTTGTATCTGACGAAAGGACCTTTGACTCTCAAAACCTTATACCTCCCAAAATCTTCTTTCTTTCTTTCTTTCTTTCTTTCTTTCTTCACACCCTCTTCAGCTAAATACTTGCAACTTTTTAAAATTTTTATTTATAATTCACAGAATAACAATTATAACAACATATTCTAACATCAAAGACCAACTACCTTGAAATTGAGTTATTCAATAAAACAGAAGGAATGATACATTATGAATACGGTTGGAACTTGCAACTTTTAGGTACTCTTTTCTCTCCCTCCCCCTCTTTCTCCCTCTCTCTTGCTGTCTCTCTCTTTCTCTCTTTCTCTTTCTTTCTCTCACTCTTTCTCTCTTTCTCTCTCTCTCTCTCTCTCTTTCTCTCTCTCTCTCTCTTTTTCTCTCTCTCTCTCTCTTTCTCTCTCTCTCTTTCTCTCTCTGTCTATTTCTCTCTCATTCTCTCTCTTTCTCTCTCTCTTTTTCTCTCATTCTCTCTCTCTCTCTTTCTCTCTCTTTCTCTCTTCCTTCCTTCCTTCCTTCCTTCCCCCCCTCCCCACCAAGGCAGGCTCAGGGCAGCTTTCATTGAGAAGTTGAAATACAGTAAAAGACAAATAATAGACATCATAAAATCATAGCTCTAATGTGATGGTCACAGTTGCTAAATTAATCCCAACAAAAATCCACGGAACAAATGGAAAACTGTGTAATGATTGCGCTTAAGAAATTTTTTTAACAACCAATATATACTTATAATACAAAAAGTGCATATAAATTAACATAGACGATGTAACAATGTGATAGAGATATTGTTTGTTGTTAACGATGATCTCCGGAATATTCTACCGTTTCGACAAATTTCTTCTTCCGAACGAAGATGAAGATAGATGAAGCGCATGCAACGTCTCTGGTCAGTTTTTCAATTGGTAATGACCATTATTTCACTGTTGTGTCATAACATTATTGGAACAAGAGTTTACAGTAGTTCTCAATGGGCAAAAGGCTGTGGATCATCGTTAACAACAAGCAATATCTCTATCACATTGTGACATTGTCTATGGTAATTTCTATGCAGTTTTTGTATTATAAGTATATATTTGTTGTTAAAAAACTTCTTAAGCGCAGTCATTACACAATTTTCCATTTGTTCCGTGGATTTCTGTTGGGATTATGATAAACTCATATACAGAACAAATAAAGTGCCGGTGGCGGTATGACATTGCATGGTGATCCTTGAAGGCCATGGTGGAATAGAGACCAAGGAGTATAGCCAAAGTTGGTAACCAGCCCATTAATAGAAACTATTGCAGGCTACCGCTGATAGCATAGAGGGCCTTACCACAGTTCTGTTGTTGGAAGCGGCTCCTAATCGAAGTCCTGGTGGAAGAGCTCTGTCTTGCAGGCCCTCCGGAACTGTAAGGGCCCTGATGTCTTCCAGGAGCTCATTCCTCCAGTATGGGGCCGCTACCGAGAAGGCCCTGGTGGAGGCCAAATCTCCAAAGGAAGTTTAGAAAACTAATTGAGGGCCAAAAGTTAAAAACATAAGTAAGCATATAATAGAGTGTTCATTACAAAGACATATAAAAACCTAGTAGGGGCCCAAATAAAGCCTCATATGCTACATATTGATGGCACATTGTCCCTGACAAGGCAATTCTATTTGCAAATCAGGACCTAAACTGGAAGGTACATAATACTTCCAGTTCATACAACAACTTCCGACACAAGGCCAGATATATTTGTGGCCCTAAATAGAAACTTTTTGGTGTGTCATTCAATTCCATATTGGAACATTCCACTTTTGGTCCTATTTTATTGGGTTTTTTTAAATTTATTGCTAATTGCCTTACATGTGTTACAGGGATTCCGTTGCTTGTTATATTTTGCACTATTTGACCTCTGAAGAAGGCCCTTGTGAGCCGAAATGCGTCAGGTCATACACTGTTCTCTTTTGTGTGTTTCCGTAACTTTGTACATTTTATGAGGCTTTATCTGGCCCCCTACTAGGTTTTTATATGTCTTTGTAATAAACACTCTTTTGTACACTAAGTTATGTTTTTAACTTTTGGCCCTCAATTAGTTTTCTAAACTTCCTTTGGAGGTTTGTGCTTTGTTGGTTTAGATTCCCCCCTTCCCTCTTTTTTGGGGTGTCTTTTTCCTGGTAGAGGTCAGCCTGGCGTCTTTGGGCCCAGAGAGGGTGAAGCGATTTTGAGAACCCGACCTCAGTGCTCTCTGGGGAACATACGGGGAAAGGCGGTCCCTCACGTAAGTAGGCCCCAGACCATATAGGGCTTTAAATCGTGTCAATCTTTAGGGTGCTATTGGACTCAGGTGAAGGAAGAATTATTCTACTTCAGTCAGATAAAAATAACTTAGAGACCAATATGGTTTCCAGGGTTTGGAGAGTCAAAGCTCCCTTCGTCAGATACAAGTAGGAATGGAGATCCCGAGTCCTTATATCCCATTATATTTTACCTTTGCACCACAGTGGCTCCCACGTAACTAAGAAATGCTTGGGGGTGGATGTATTGCCAGTTTGGTGTACTGGTTAAGTGTGTTTGGAGAGTCAAAGCTCCCTTCGTCAGATACAAGTAGGAATGGAGATCCCGAGTCCTTATATCCCATTATATTTTACCTTTGCACCACAGTGGCTCCCACGTAACTAAGAAATGCTTGGGGGTGGATGTATTGCCAGTTTGGTGTACTGGTTAAGTGTGCAAACTCTAATCTGGAAGAACCTGGTTTGATTCCCCACTCCTCCACTTGCACCTGGCTGGATGACCTTGGGCAAGCCGTAGTTCTGGCACAGCTGTCCTTGGAAAAAGAGCCGTTTCTGTCAGAGCTCTCTCAGCCCCACCTGCCTCACAGGGTGTCTATTGTGGGGAGGGGAAGGAGTTTGTAAGCCGCTCTGAGACACCTTCGGGTAGTGAAGGGCGGGGTATAAATCCAATCTCTTCTT